ATGGTCCAATACCCTATGCTTTATTGCTATCTAGAATTTTTGAGAAAGCTGGTGTGGATCTTCAAGGGGAGAAAAAGAGAATTCTCCATGCCTCAAACAAGATTGAAAAATCTTTTTTGCATCATATGGGGATGCTAAAGCAAGAAGATAAATGGGTGTTCAAAGGTGATGTTCCTCCAACACCAGAACCGGCAACGGACGAAGATGGAGTTCCATCTCATGATGAGGAACTGCCACCACAAGTGGAGCCTGAACCAGTGCAAGAGCAAGAATCGGAACCTAAAGCGTTTTCTCCGTTTGAACAGATTATGATCAACAAGCTTGATGTTGTGATGGAAATGTCAAGGAAGCATGAGTCATATTATTCTGGTATTCTTGATCGGTTTGATAACCTTGATCATGAGATTGCAAGGATTAAGGCTCAACTTGGAATGCAAGATGATTCGGAGTGATGCGTTTAGGAGTTTTAGAAGTTCTAGTTTTAGTTTTAAAACTTCTAGTTCAAAATTTCAATTTGGTTGTAATGATTTTAATTTCTAAACATTTGAATTTGGTTTTATCTTGGTTTGAACAATTTTAATTCTAGTGCAATATGAATTTAATTGTGGTTATATTGTGTTTGGTTACTCTGGTTTGAATTTTGATGTTGCCATATTGGTTTATTTTGTGCATTGGTATGCATTTTTGAGTGAATTATTGTAGTTGATGTATCATGTGTAATCAATTGTGTTAATTGAAACAATGCCTATGGTGATAATGCTTGACTGATTTCTTGGTATTAAGTTAGTCTTGTGGCATTGATTTTGAGCAAATGACTCTTGTGCATATATCTATACATATGCAATCTGCAAAAATTGATTCTCCATATCTGGACATGTATATCTGTACCTATTTGTTTTTTATGTTGTCCAAATGGGGAGAAAGGTTTGAGTTTGTTTTGTAGGTGTCTAAATATGAACAAGGAATAAGCTACTCATATCTAGCAATATGAAAAGCTGGTTGGCAAAACATAGTGGTTTGTCATCATCAAAAAGGGAGAGATTGTTGATATTCATGGAGTAGTGAATCAACTAAGCTTTGACGTATGAGAGAGCATGAGAGTTTTGATGATAATAAAGGGTGGATTCTAAGAGTTGAAGCTGACTAAGGACACAAATTAAGTCAAGAAGAAGATATGAATATCATAATATGTAATAGGAGTAGTTAATAAGTTCTTATGAGTTGTGTTGTTTTGATTAGCTTATTTTGCATGTGTATGCTTTGTGCATGAGTTAATTTTAATCTAAATTGACTAAGAGTGAGTATGATGATGATTTTAAATACTTGAAAAGATTTTTGAAGTATAAAATTGAGTTTTTGAAAACTAACTCAAAATAATTGATTATCATTAAGTGTAATCAATTATTCCAACAACAAGTGGAAATGACCTTGTTGTAATAATCGATTATCTGTGAAATAATCAATTATTCTAGGAAGCACTCTCTGGAATAATCGATTATCCTGCAAAATAATCGATTATTCTATTCTTGAGTGATCTCTAGAAATCATGAAGAGCAACATAATCGATTATCCTTTAAAATAATTGATTATCTGGTTCTGAAATTTTTATAAATAGTTTTCACACTTTGAAACTTCAGAACAAAGATGAATTGAGAATCAACGAGAGAAAAACTATATTGTGGAGTCTTTGTGACCTTCTTGGAGTGTTTTCTTTGTGAAACCAAGAAGAAAAACATTTTTGAAATGCTTTGAAAGAGATCATCATCATCACTACATTCTTGGGAGAGGAAGATTAAGATTTGCTTTTGGAATTCACAGTCTGATTTGTTCAGCTTCCAGGTGAATTCATTCCTTTAATTCCATGTGTAAAGTGTAAGGGAAATCTCGAGTAGGTGTCTCAAGTGGTAAGGAATTCTTGTAGTAGGTTTCTACAAGAAGTGTTTTCTTGGGGGCACGAAAGTGGTTATCTTGAATGTAGGAGTATATGCATGTGTGCTATGCTTGTAAAACTTCTTCATTGAGATAATGGAACAGATCTTGATCAGGTTATGATTGAGGACTAGATGTAGGTCACATGTGGAGTGGCTGAACCAAGATAAAATACTTATGCATTCTTCTCTCTCACTCTTATCTTTTACATTGAGAAAAATCTTGGTTGAGTGTTAAAGTAGCTGATCTTGATTAATATGTTTGTATGCATAACATTGTTTTAAACTGAATCAAAGTATTGCATATTAGTTGTTCTTAACATTGAACTTAATCAAGATTAATCAAGAGACCATATACGACTCATTCCCATTGGCAAGTCTTTCAAGGAACTTCTTTGAGAATTCATATTAAAAAAGTTTAAGTTGAAATAAAGATCCTTAGAACTCTGAAAATTTTTTAAGTGTCATAGAATCCAATTCACCCCCCTCTTGGATTGAGTCATTATTTTCTAACAATAATTGGATCAGAGAATGGGACAGGAAGAACCTGTTGAACAAAAAAATGGTTGTTTATGGAGGGTGAGAAAAATGGTGTGTCCTCAAAGAAGGTAACATCAGCAGACATATAATACTTTTTGGTAGTTGGAGAATAACATTTGTATCCTTTTTGAAGATGAGAATATCCCAGAAAAACACATTTGATAGCCTTTGTAGAAGTAATGGTGGGAGTACCAGTAAAGGGAAAAATAGGACCTGCGGAGGTCATTTTATTAACAAAGGAGAAAGAGAAGAAGATGAATAGTAGTCACGCTCCAAGCAGCCACCTAGAATAGTGAATTAAGGATTGGAACAAACTTAGAAGGAGTGGATGAGCACAACGGTGACAACACGACGGAGCTCCAACGAGCAGAAGGCGATGCGTGAACCACACGTGCGTGACTGGGCAGAAGTTTGGATCGACGCGTGAGAGCGCGTGGGATCTCCTCTGTCCCCAAAACCATCAGGGTTAGGTCACGCTCAACAAGGCGCGCAAAACCCTAAGGTCGCCAACAGACGACGGCGACGGATGACAAATAAGAAGGGACTGTAGAGCGGGATCGAACCTGCTCTGATACCAAGTTAAGATTTGAATTCTTGGCAAAAAATATGAGAGAGATCTCAACTGGTATATTATATATATATATATATGAACAAAAGATACACTACTCAGAAGCTAGTTTCAGCCTAAGAAGTTGCACCTCTTTTTGACAGATAGAGCCAAAAGACAGCTTTTGAAAAGTTGAACAACATATACAAAACAATTGTTTTAACACAAGTGTTTCCATTCAAGACACATTGAAAAAATATGCAAGTCTCACAAGCAACAACAAGAAGCCAACATTGTTGAAAATCAATAAGAGAAAGATGAACAATTATTACAATGTCATGCTTTACAACCAACAAACCCACAAAAGTTTGGCGTATTGATAGTAGTTGTATAAACCATATGACTTATAACTGAGAGTTGAACAAAACTGATATTCACAACGGGGAATGAAGCACACATTGTAGTAAAAGGCATGTGAATTCATCAAAATATTGTAAGTGTTGCTCAGTTGTTGGAGAAAGTATACAAAGTTTTATTTGAAGATAACTGTGTGATTAGAGGTACAAACAACAAAGAAATGATCAATGTTTAGATGAAAGGGAAGAGCTTTGCTTTAGATAAAATAGACAAGTCAACTATAGATGATGAAGATACAAATGATGAGGACAAAGATGGATGTATTTTTAAGAAGCTTGATGTTCAAAATAAGAACAAAGATGATGAAAAATAACCTTAAAAAAAAGCTCTGTATTCTGAAATTCAAAAGTTGTCCCATTTAAGAAAGATTGTGATAACAAAAATAAAAGGAAGAAAAAAGGTAGATTGCAAAGTTGAAATTCAAATCGGTTGATAAAAACATCATAAAAGCGAAGTGGCCGACTCCAAAAGCGGAATAACGAGGTAGCGGATAGCGGGATACCGCCATTCTAATTTATATATATATATATATATATTAAATAATTTTTAATACATATAAATAATAATATACATATAAAAAAAAGAAACATAACCTAATTTATATATTAAATATTTTCAATAATAAAACTTTATAGTAGTTAAATAAAATAAAAAAATTAAGAAAACAAATATTTATGGTCTTATATAAAATTTATTATTACTTAAAATATTATCTAAATTATAATAACAATTAAAAATAAAGAGAAGTACTTATTATTGTCTGAAAAAATAAAGAAGTAAAAGGCCATTAACCAAACTAAAAGAGAAAATAAAACTTGGGTCCTTTTGGTCCAACTTTTCCAACCTTAATTTTTAACTACAACCCTTTTAACCCTAAGAGACTCATAAGTCACCGCCTACCTTTCCTCTTGGAAAAAAATGAGTTTGCATATGCTGGAAAAGAGAGAGCCGCCTCGGAGAAGACAGATTCGACACCTATGGGAGAAGGCAGATCTAAAGATATGTCGAAGAAGAAAAATGTGCAGAGATCTATTGGAGAAGAAGAAAAATCTATAGGAGATCTGCCAAAAAAAAGTAATTCGCCACCACACTTTGCTACTTTTGCGGCCACTCCAACCACTCCTTTAAAGCACTTCACAACAAGCTTTCCGTAGCGGCATGAAGCCGCTTCACTCTGATGCGCCGCGATAACGGCCACTACAACACTACTATGAAAAATATTAAGTGAATGAAAGATGTTGAAAATATGCCTAAATATTATTAGTTTTAAAAGGAAAGGATAACTTAGTTTTGTTATGAATCCATTATTTAAGCTTCAAGATTTATTATTTTTATTATTTTAAGATTTATTTTTTTATTTTAAAAATAAGATAATATCAATATTTGATTATTATATATAATTTTTATCTATATAAAGAGCTTGTGAATAAAATTACATCATGCTCTTGACAAATATATTTTTATAAAATACAAATATAAAATACCCCATCATTCACATAATGCAAAATATATTCTCAATTTGCCAGCATTTAAAAACTGAAATCACCAGGGTTTACTAATCAGATTACCTGAATACCCATATCCTAAGACCAGCTTCAATAAGTTCTTGATATATTGGAAGCATAGATAGCGGAGAATCAGCCCAATAATCCTCAACCCCAACAATATCACTGTTAAGAAAACTCTTTCGAGTCAAGATTGAAAAAATCTAATAGTCTCATGAAAGCATCTCAAATATTCCATATAATCAATGTACCTGCATGTCTTCCATGAATAAGAAATGCCAGTCACATTGGCATGGAGTGCCTTCTGAACTTCTGGATTATTAAAATACAAGTCAGAGTACCTCTCAGTACAGGGATCATATGCTCGAGACATCCATGGCTAAGTTTTGCAAGAAAATAAAAATCAGAAGAGTATGCGTGGAGGCTGGAAGGAGGTGACCAAAATAGGAACAACTACTAGCACTACATTTTAACACTGAGATAAGTAATGAAAACCTCAAACATCTATATTCCTCAAGGCAGGTTGGCATTAACACCCAAATACTATGTTTCTTTAGTTTTAGTTACTATACGCCCACCAAAACTTGAGTTTTTTCATACAAAGACTAATTCCTAATTCCTAAATCCTAAATAAGTATCACCAAAAAAAGTCAAATGATTAATAAAATCAATTAAAAAACTATACACAACAATTTTTTTAATCGGTTTTGTAGGTTAAAAGGATGAGAAGATCAGCTGAAAAATTATAAAGCTTCAGAATTTCTAGTTAGAACTTGGAAGTCTAGGGGTATATACTAGCATATGCTACTTTCTTTTTAGCTCTATCTTTAACTTTTAGTTGTGTGTATACCATCCTTTGTAGGTTCTCTTGGGTGAAACAGTTTGTCTATCAGTGTGTAAGTGTGAATAAAGTCTAATGTTGAGTATGTTGAGTATCATATAAGAGAAAAAGACACATAAACCTGATGCATTAAGGTTTTGAATTAACATGTAGTGGTAGTGTTAAGCTTATTTATGTGGGTAACTCCGCCCCTCGTGTTTTCAACGCTGCCAATACTATTTACATCTCTAGAAATTCATCCCAACTAGGATTTTTGACTTGTAACAACATCCCAATACTCCAAAGGCTTCTCCTGTTAATTTTAGTTTCACAGATTCCACCAATACGACAATTTCAGAAGGTACCATCATTGATAGATGTTTCTCAAGTGGCACTAAAACCAACAAAAAGTTATTCTTTTGACTTGAGCCTATCCTTTTTTCCCATATCCATGACCCACGCCAACACTTGATCTGAGCTGACCACTTGAGCTGAGTTGAAATGGCTTAGAAACCAGTTTCAAGACAACATTTGCCATTAAAACTATATTGTTCAGATTCTCAACTACAATGGCATGCAAGGACTTGTATCTACTATCTAAGAGTCATGTTATTAAGAAAATTGAATATGTTGACATAAAAGCTTACGTAGCGACCCCCTAAGTTGTGTTTGAGTGATGCTGTATCATTGCATGTCTGTGTATAAATGCTATATGGATCAATGTTTCCTTGCTCCACTGTTGCAAGTTTGAGAGTTTCTAAGCATTGGTCTGATGGATGCTGAGAGGACCCGAAGTCACAGGCAATTCCCAGCATCCTATATGTGGCGTCTGAAATCAAACCGTGGACCCACCAGTACTCAAATGTACCAATGTAATCATGGTAATCATCAGTGACAGCATTCCCAACCTGAGTGATCACAGAAAAAAATCACACCCATTAGAAGATTTTCAACAAAGTTATCATAATTCATTAGCATAAATAAGGTCCAAAAGGCATGTACCATTGTTTCATGAAGTTACAAGCTTACCAGAAACCCCTTCAAATTTATATCTGGATCCTTGATTCCTTTATTTTTCTGGTTAACAATTTGAGCCAATTGAGGAACATAGTGACCTGAAATGAATTTGTAAAGTGTCGGAGAATCTAAGGCACTCAATTAATGGAAACGAAATCCAAAGGAAGGAAACTAGTTAGAAGGACCTGCATAACTTTCACCAGCAATGTAGAAATCCCTATGCTTATATTGAGGAAATCTTTCAAACCAATTCACAAGGAAAGTATATGCATCTTCAGCTGCAAATTCAGCCAGGACACACATAAGCAAGTCAAAATCATACAAACACCATTTCATCTGTTTTAATGAAGAAAAAAAAATGTTGTTTGTAAAATAAGCTAGTTATTTGGGACAATTATTAAATTTACAAACAGTTTTATTTTTCTTTCTAAAAAAGTTGTTCTCTTGAATATGAAAATTTGAAGGTCATGATTATTTTTCAGCAACATTTTCTCTTCTCAAGCTAATTTACTACTTAAAAGCTCATTTTTTGTTGTAATCAAACAAAATTAAATATCTCAAAATCAATAAGGAAGGATTTACTTATTCCAAGAGTAGGTCTTTCTAGGCTTACTCTACTCAATAACTCATTTTTGCATCAAATTACAACAATTCAAATGTTAAATTAAAATTTTTTAATGCATAAATCAAGTTTACAAATTTTTAAAAAAAATTAAAAATTATATGATACTTTATTATATAGATTTAAATCAAAGTATAAAATGTTTTCATGATTATCCACCAATTTGAGTAAATATAATGAAGTATCAAATAATTTTCAAAATTTTTAAAATTTACAGACTTATCTATCCATTAAGAATTTTTAATTTAACAGTTGGATAAAATTTGATATAGAACATGAGTTATTGAATAGAGTAAGTATACCAAAAATTACTTTTAGTAAGTACATCCTTCCTCATACTCAGATATACATATAATCAATTATTTAAATAATTTAATTTTCACAATTTTTTCAACACACATAATGGATGAAACAAACAAGCCAAAATGAATCAAATATGGATGAAACACACACCATAAATGCTGCAACCACATTACCTGTTCTTTGGTCACCTGCTGTATACAGATCTGATGTTGTGTTAGAATATGAAAAACCAACACCAGCAGGAGACTCAAGGAAGAGTAGATTTGCCACTACAGAACACAAAAGAAAGTAAAAATATGTTATTTAAAAAGACCAAAACACTTGTTTGGGTGTGAACTTCCCTTACAATTGTTCCAAGCATAAGGATTCAAGTAAAGTGAACTCCCATCAGGACTAACACGAAAAGGGCCGATTTCTTCAGCTGCTCCATAGGCAATAGAGGAGCATCCAGGGCCACCATTAAGCCACAACACCAGTGGCCTTGAACTTGGTCCATCAGTATCACTAGCTGGTGTCTCAACCAGCCAGTAAAACAATGCTCTCCCAGCTTGCTCATTAACAGTTACATAGCCAGAATACTGAGCAAATTTCACATTGTTTGGTTGTCCTGGCAGCTCGGTAACCCTATCCCTCTTTTGGTCCTCTATTGGGGAAGCTAAGCATATTCCCACAAAGATGGACAAAAGCAAAACAACATAGAATTGGGAATAACCCATGATTCTGATGAATAAAACATCCACGAAAGGCAAACAATACCCAGAAAAAGTTACTAGAATATTTCTGGCTTTCCTACCCTTTTAGATGCTTTACTTCAAAAACATAAGGAAAAAGGAAAAAGAAAACCACAGAATTGGACAATGATGACAGCAGCAATGGATATAGGAGGCAAGGTACGAACTCTTTAAGTCTAAAATATTAGTAATTGTTGAACAATAATTACGGTGTCCGCAGTTTTAACTCAATCACACGGATAATATAAGTAATTATCATAGTTAATTTTATAAGATTTATAAAATTAAATTAAATTTAAATATATTTTTAGTCGATCAAATGTATGATAAATTTATTTTTGATTCTTTAAATTTAAAATTAATTTTTTTTAATTTTGTAATTTTAAAAAAATTATTTTAGTCTTTGTATTTATTTTTTTAGAAAATTTGTCAAATATTGTTTTACAAAATATATCTACCGGTATTTCTATTAATAAAAATATAATATTAAATCTAATTAATATTTCATAATTATCTTAATTTATCATTTTCATATGTGTTATTGGTGACTTAAGCGACTAAAACAAGATTTTTAAAAATTACATGATTAAAAATATTTATTTAAATTTGAGTCACCAATAACACATATAAAAATGACAAATTGAAACAATTATAGAGTATTAATTGGATTTAGTGTTATGTTTTCACCAACAGAGCTACCAGTAGGGATGGGAATAGGTCAAGCTAGACCAGACTTTGAATATATAGGTTGAGTCTAATCTGGCTTATTATCTGTCGTAGACCTTTTTTATAAGTCTAGTCTAGCCTTTTTAAAGTCTAACTTGACCTATTAGCCTATTTAAAAGCATATTTAAATTATTAATATTAATTAGGTCAATATACTTATTTTTAAAAATTACTAAAATTATTTTTAAAATATAGTGTTCTTAGAAGAAACACTACCTTGCTAATTTTCTCTTTAATACCTGATCTTCAAAGCTCTAAGGTTGTACTCGCATGAATCCTTGTTCCGAATGGTGGGGAGGGTACCTACAAAGACACTCCAACGCTCAAGTGAGTATTCGATTTAGAGAAATAAATACTATAATATTAAATGATCTACTTGTCTTTCATGTCTTGTCAATGTTGTATTTATAGTGACGTATTTGTGCCTGGTGGGCCTTTTGGATTAAGAGATTGGTAATCTAAGTTTTTAGCCCTAACTTAGGCTGACATGGATGCTCACCATATAATCATAATTAGGACAGTAATCTTAATAATAAAGGATTCGACATTCTTTATGGTCGAATACCCCTTCAAGTTATGCCTTGTAGATACCCAATATCGTCCGGGGGGTATACAAACAAAGAAATGGACGTCTATTATCAAAGAAATGGAGCTCCCAAGCATGGAAATAATAGGACACGACATCAGAAGGATAAAAGCCCAAATAAGCTAGTTTTAGTAGCCCAGAACGGGCTGTTCCAAAACTGGAACGAGCCGTTCCAATTTACAAAAAGGGCCTAAAACCCTAGTTTGGAACAGGTCGTTCCTAAATTAGAACGGGTCGTTCCTAAATTAGAACGGGCCTTTCCTAAATTGGAACGGGCCATTCCAAGCTCTTAAAAAAAGGGGCTAAAACCTACGTTTGGAACGGGCCGTTCCAGCATAGCAATTATGTGTTAAACGCACCTCTGGAACAGGTCGTTCTGGTTTCAAAACGGGCCGTTCTAATGTACGAAATTAACACACAACGTTCGGATCCATAACGGGCCGTTATGAATCTAAAACGGGTCGTTCTGGCCCCCATTCTGATGCCTATAAATAGACAGTTTGGGCACAGTTCTCAAGGCCCCCAAAATTTCGTCCAGGACTCTTTAGAGCTTAAAATTTCTCTCTCTCTCCTATTGTATTTCTTGAGTATTGTGAGGCAATTGTAGTGTGAAAGGTTGCCACAAAGCACCTAGAATGTCCAAGTTTGAAGATCTAACAAAGCTTGCCACGAGGTATTGTATTTAATCTTCTTCTCTCTTTTATTTCTTATTTTTAATATACATTGTTATAACAAAAGCAATCATGTAGACGTTTTAGGGTCAATCGTGTAATTTAATTTGTGCGTGTTAGCCAGATAATGGGAAATTACTGTAATCAAATGCGAACCCGACACATCAAATCGGGAAACACTTATCAGTAATTGGGGGCATCACACGCCCGATGATTCAATCACCAAGACTTTCCCATGCGAAAACGACAATTGCCGGGATAAGAGGAATGATTAAGAATGGACGAATCCTTGTTTCTAGGGAATTACAAGATAAAACACAATTGAAAAATAAAGGCATTACATGACAAAAACCCGCTAGGATGAAAACCCGTAAAGGGCATCCTAGGCAAAAATTAGGGTGAAAAAAAAAAGAATCAAAATTCTGATAGGATACGTCCTATGCAAAAGTTAGGGATATATAAAAATAAGAAATGTCTATCTGAGTTGGAATCAAAAGGTGGCTGGAGTATTCCCTTTGAAAGCAATAATTCACAAAGGTTTCACTCCAAATGCAAAACACCGACATTCAAGCAAGTGGAAAGGTTTTCTTTTGAAATTATCAAATCATTCATGACTCTCTAGGGGGCAACCTCTGTCTATCTCTCTGTGTATGAATCACGAACTCGGGGCATGCCCGAGCCTTCGAGCTTTGTTAAAGGGGCACGTGTAAATTGAAAATACTGTTTTAAATGCCATAACACTCCTTCATTTCTTTTTTCCCTTTAAATATTCACTCTGGGCCTCATCCACTAACCCCAAATAAACAAAGCTTATTTGCAATAAAAATTTTATTCGGACAATAGCATGGAAAGGGTAGGAGAGAAGTAATCACGTGAATTCAAACATGACTAGGGTTTGATAAAATAAAGACATCCCATACCTCACGAGTGCTGCAAAAAGTGAAGGCCCGACAGGAAACCCACTAAGGGGGCTGCGCAAAAGTTAGGGCGAGATCTGCTAGGCAACCCACAAGTAAAAATGGGTAACCTAGGCAAAAGAAAAGATCAAAAGAAAAATGTCTGCTAGGGAACACATCTCAAGTGACCTAGGCAAAAGTTAGGACGTTAAAGCAGCAACCTGAGTTGAAAACCGAAAGGCGACTCAGAGGAATCATCCAATCAGAGTACGACCCCAAGTCATCACTTCACTTTCCAAATAGGCTAAACACAATGATAACTTCTTTGTAGCAAATATGATTTGTTTAATAGCCATAAACACTAAAGCCCACCTTGACCAGTCATTCTTCTAAAAACCCCTTTTGAAAAAAAATCCCTTCTAACAACCTTTTGAAAAAATACAAACATCTCTTTTCTTCTTTTCTCTTGACCCTTATGGCATTAAAATGGTACCGAAAAGATACACAGAAAATGCACAGTGAATACTCACAGAGGGAAGACTAAGATGTCCCTTAACGGAGTTTAGAGACATTTGACTACACACTGATAATTAAGGAGCCATTGAAACCTTCAGTTCAAAAGAACATATCCCGGTAATAATCACAAACGACACGAATAAAAAGGAATCGTCAACTTTAACCTTAACGTGCACAGGTTAATCTCCCGACATAAAAAAAAAATTAATTGCATGTTTAAGACTAAACACATGAGCATAAACTACATCGAATGCATATGAGTTAGGGGCATATGGAAGAGTGTTACACAAAAATAAAAGAATCATTCCTATCTTCCATTTTCATTGCATCCATGCATCCATGTATGCTACTTGTTATGGGTTAGAAGGAGTCATCAGGACAAAGCACTCATAAAATTTCAATAGCTAAGCATGAGTTGAAGCGATGTCAAATGGTAACCCCAAGTAATTCTATGTGCCCACTAAGCAAAGACATATCAATAGTGGAATAGAATGGAATAGATTGAATAAGCAAGCCCATAAGCATGAAGAGGCCATCGCGCTCTACTCCTCAACCGAATGAAGGATGATCTAAGATAATGCCAAGACCAGGAATGACTTCCTAACCAAAGCCATGAGTGGCTTCAAAAATAATACTCATCAATAAAGATTCAGAAAATAACATCATGGGAATAGATCCCTCCACCAATGATGACAGTAAAAAAGCAAAAACAACATGAGAAAAAGGCAAGTTTCGTAAATGTTGAAAAAACCGAAGAATTTAAAAAAAATAGCAATAAAAAGGCAAGCTTCAAACATGAAAGAGCCAAAGCTAAACAAAAATGAAATTAAGAAAAAATCTACCACAAGCAGGCACCTGAAGAGGCATCACAAGACTCACATGGCAGGGGCAGCATCAGAATCTCTATCAACCATCTACTCCTTTGCCCACCAGCACAAGGGCACCACTTACCAACAATCCTCGTCAAGGGGCAATCACATCATTAGCACCAGCAGATGACTTGGAGAGGCTATGAAAATACTACAGCCTGGAGAGGCTATGAAAATACTACAGCCTGGAGAGGCTACGAAAATACTACGGCCTGGAGAGGCTATGAAAATACTACAACTTGGAGAGGCTACGAAAATACTACGGCCTGGAGAGGCTACGAAAATACTACGGCCTAGAGAGGCTATGAAAATACTACGGCCTGGAGAGGCTATGAAAATACTACGGCCTGGAGAGGCTATGAAAACACTACGGCCTGGAGAGGCTATGAAAATACTACGGCCTGGAGAGGCTATGAAAATACTACGGCCTGGAGAGGCTATGAAAATACTACGGCCTGGAGAGGCTATGAAAATACTACGGCTTGGGGAGACTATGAAAATACTACAGCTTGGAGAGGCTATTTAAATACTACAACAACAAAGAAGGTTACCTACCTTTAGAAGAGGCCGGCTGAAGCCTTAAAATATCAGTCCAGCCTGGAGAGGCTACGAAAATACTCCCGCTTAAACAAGCTACAAATAAAGGAACACACTATCACAAGAAAAACAATGGAGCATCTACTCGAAGACTAAAGATCACGTGTATAGTTTGTCACCCTTGTTACCCATAGAGTATGCAACCCAATACTCAGCTGCTCTAAAAGGTAACGATACAAGCAAATACACCTATTTAAGGGAAGTAATGTAGAAGCGTCACACAAAGAGACAAATAGAAGACCTAGACAAAATGTCTACGTCTTTACTTGCCTTTAGAAAAGCAACTCATAGCTATT